TTCGCAGCCGGTGGGCCCTTGCACAGGCCAGATTTGTTCCCTTCGCCTCTGACAACACCAGCCGTAGGGCTTGGGAGTCTCCACTGTGCAGATAACAGAGAGAAGATTGCCCTGTGTGGCACCTTTGATTCCTCCAAAGACATTTTTCAATCAGAGATGGTATTTCCCACCTCTCAGCCCACTCAAGTCCTAAAAAGCCCATGGCAGATGTGTGTGTTACAGGACAGATGCATGGCAATCTGAGGGTTCAGGGATTGTGAGGCTGCCTTCTGTATGTGGAAGAAGCACAGACTTTCTCAAGTGTGAATTGTGCAGCAGCATTGAGTCATGGAAAAACATAGGACCGTCAGTCACAGCCCCAGGTGCCTCTCTGAGTCCCTCCCTCTCCAACTGCCTGCCTGGCCCACCTTGCGGTCCTCACCTGGAGCATGCATTGCTGGAATCTTCTTAGTTTCAGTCTTACTTTGCCCCCAAGGTATGTTTTCTCTGCAGCTTCCCTTTCCAAGGGGATCTTAGAGATGGATGATGAAAGTTCCCATTGTCCTTAAACCCTTTGGGTACTGGGAAGCCTGGCCTGGGACTGGGTACTTGAGCAGAAATAACACAGGGGAGACCAGAGTCAAGCCTGGAGGTCAGTTCAGTCACCAGCAGTGGAGCCACAAGGTGGGGCGGTTTTCCCAGCTGTCTCATAGTAAGTGACTTGAGCCAGTGACCACTAAAGATAGAGCGGAGTCCAAGGAATAACCTACAAAGAGTGAAGGGGACAGGCAAGAGCTGATAGCTTTGGACCAAGACCATGTTCGCTGTTCTGCATCGATGATATTCCCTTCCCACTGTAGAGGGCAGGTGAGGACCATGTATATCTTTCTAGAAATACATGTAGATGTTTGCAAACGCAGAACTGACTGGTGGAAAGGGCGGACATGAACTGATGACAGAAGTCTGGCCCTCATGGACCCTATGTGTGTGGTGGCTATTAGAGCAATATGTGGGAAGAAGTCTTGCAGATACTTTCTCTCATTAGACATTCTACTCTCTAATTCTAGGAGTCAGACTACTCTATGTACCTTATCTCAGTGAATTCCAGAGTGAATCATAGAGTAGAATAGTAGTTTCCAGGAGCTGTGGTCAGGGGAATAGGGCATTGTTCCATGGCTGTGCTGTTCAGTTATACAGGATGAGGAGGTTCTAGAGATCTCCTGTACAGTTTCATGTCTATAGTTCATACAGATAAAGTGTTCCCTATGCAGAAAGCTTAAAACCAAGGTTTCTGGATTCTAACTTTTTTATTTATTTTGGAATATTTATGGTAGATGTACTGGGTTAGCATCCCAAATCTGAAAAATTTTAAATCCAAAATGCTCCTGTGAGCACTTCTTTTTAGCATCACATCAGTGGTCAGAAGTGTTGGATTCTGGAGCATTTCAGATTTTAGATTTCTGGATTTGGGATGCTCAATTTGTAGTACTGTAATTTTCCCATAAAAAGTTGTCAAGAGTTTAGACCTCATGTTATGTTGTGACTCTAGTAACGAAACAAAAAAAGATTTGGAGGAAACATTAAAATGTTGCATAAGTGGAAATTTTTACTGATGGTCCAAACATCTAAGATCGATTGCTATTAGTAGTATTTATCTTGATACCAAATTAAGGTTTAGGTGTGGGGTGAATTCCAACAGGATCACATTATGCTCAAAGAAAGATGCCAAAAGTGATTTGAAATTAGCAACTCCTTAAGTAGAGAGAGTCCCATTAAAGGGACAGAACTGGTCAGTGTGTCAATTACATAAAGGGAGGAATGATGCCGAATTAAAAGAAGTGATATGTGTTATGTTAGTAAATATAGTAAAAAAATCCCTGTTTCTAATTTCTGTGCAGAGTTAGGAAAAATGGGGAAGAGCCCAAAACAGGTATGTGAAATGCTTTCTTCATTTTCTCTTAACCTCAGGAAATACAACTAGAGTTTAAGTTTGTGTGAATCAGGAAGAGTCTAAGTGAGATGCCAGTGGCTCATGTGTCCCCCACACAAAGAACCCCAACTTATGAAAATGGCATCATCAGGAGGAAACAATCGTATGTGGCACAGGCTGTAAAACCATCAGATAGCACCCCCTGGCCACCTCCAACAGGTCCCGGAGGTTGTACCACAACTACAAAATTTAAAAATTGCTATTGTCAATACAAAATGTTAAATATGAAGTGGGATATATTGTTCCATTTTTTTCCCCCACTCCTTTTGAACTTTCCTTTTTCAGTTTTGGAAGTTTCTATTGACACATCCTCAAGTTAGGGATTCTTTTCTCAGCTGTGTGCATTCTACCACTAGGCATCAAAAACATTCTTCATTTCTCTAACAGCAAGTTTTTCGTTTTCCTTTTTTTTCTGAGATGGAGTCTCACTCTGTTGTCCAGGCTGCAATGCAGTGGCAAGATCTTGGCTCACTGCAAGCTCCACCTCCTGGGTTCATGCCATTCTCCTGCCTCAGCCTCCTCACTAGCTAGGACTACAGGCGCCCGCCACCACACCTGGCTAATTTGTTTGTATTTTTAGTAGAGATGGCGTTTCACTGTGTTTGCCAGGATGGTCTCGATCTCCTGACCTCGTGATCCACTCGCCTTGGCTTCCCAAAGTGCTGGGATTACAGTTGTTAGCCACTGTGCCGGCCATCTCTGAGGGATTTTAACGAGTTGCTGACTTTTGAGTTTTCCGTTGTTTACTTACTGTTAGAACCGAGTGACAAATTTCAAGCCTGTTATATGGCTGACAGGAAACCAGAAGTCTCTAGGAAGTGGCTGGAGAATGTGAGCTCCATAGTAGGTTGTGGATGGAGTAGTGAGTGAAATGGGTGAAATCAGCCCATGGGCTTTGGAGACTGCAGACCTGTCCAGCCTCTGACACCCTGGTCAGTCAGTGCAAAGATTACAACAGTGACAGCAAACTAGCATGGCTGACTCCATCTGGCATCTAGTCTCAGGCTGGCTGTCCTCACTCATTCCTGGACATAGGCCGGGCTAACCATGGGAGGAATTTAATTTATGGTTTAACTTTGAAGCAAGAATGATAATAGTTCCTCCATAACACTAATACCCTTCTTTTGCCCAGGGATTGCCTTTGTAAAACTGGTGAAAGACCATGAGAATAAGATTGTAGGAGGGAACTGAATTCTGCTAAAATGGAGGCACAGTTTCTATAATCCCTTACAGCTCAAATGTCATTTGCCCAGAGTTTACAAAATTTGTATCTATTTGCTTCTATAGATAACATCACTATTGTAGAACCTGAGATTGGTCTTTTGAGATGTTTCTCATTCTTTGCATTCTGGAAACCCGCTGACCTCATCCATACCCATGACTAATGGCTCAGCCAGTCACATGGTCCCCACCTAGAGGTGGATTCAAGCACAAACAGATCATTTCCCTCCGCCCTCATGATTCCATCCCCAAACAGTCAGCAGTACCCATTTTTTAGTCCTGTGCCCCTGAAACTACCCTTGAAAATCTCTAACCCCTGATCCACTAGGGAGTCTGATTTAAGTAATAATAAACCTCCATCCTCCTGTTTGGCAGACTTGGAGTCATTAAAATATTTCTTTACTGCAAATCACTATCTGGATAAATTGGTTTTGTTTGTGCAGGAGACCAGAAGAACTTGTCTGGAAATTATAAGAGTGGATGGAGGAGCTGCCTATCCCTGTCCCATGGTCTTGTCCACAGAACAGCCTCACAAAAGGACAGAGCCCTGAATGGAGATACAGTGGAAGCTTATTCTCTTAGTGACCTGGGGACATTGGCTCAAGATGAAACTTGGCAGGAGTGGAAACTCCAGGTGATTTCTGTGCCTTTCGTGTTTCCTGGGAGGTGGGCCAGGCCACAGTGTTAGCAGGAAGGGAACAGAACAATTAACCTAGTTAGAGGGAGTGTCTGGGGGAAGGCCTAGGGGTGGAGGAAGAAGCTGTGCAGGACAGGGCTTGCCAGGTAGAATGAAGTGGGAGGAAGATGAGGGACACAGAGAAGCAAGGAGAGGCAGAGACAGCATGGCAGTGAACAGTGGGGCCTACAGTGACTTCAGAGACCACAGAGGCCAGGATCAGGCCTGAAAACCCTCCAGTGACCAAAAGGCTTCAGAGTTACATGAGATGGGTTGGCTTTAGGGGCAAGAGTTAGTGGAGGATGAAACATGGATGTCAGCCTCTGAATGACAAGAGACAGGTGTGGCTAGACCTCCTAGGATCCTGCATCCAAGATCCAGTCTAAAGAAGTTATGGATCATTCATTTCTTCATTCAATTCCTTCATTTGTTATGTGAGAGTTCCTGAGTGTGTGTCTCTCACTGGGCCTGTGCTGGTGCAGGGTGTGAGTGGGGAACGAAAAGAAGGTCCTCTCTTTTATCCTGTCATGGCAGTGACATGGACACTTTGGGAAACACAGGATTTCAGGTTCAGTGATAGTGGTTAAGATCTGAGTGGGAGACCCGGACATGTTTTGCACTGACTCTGACAGTTGAGGCAGGTGATTTAGTTCTGGAGTGCAGACTAATCAGCTGACCATTTGCTCTCACTCCTCTGATGTTTGGACGCCTAAGAAGAGAGGATTTGAGCCAATGAATGACTATGGGGTCCTTGGAACCCAATAAGCCCTCACTTCTGGTGGAGGAGAGGATGGGCCTGTGGCTGCAGACAGACCTCATGTGACCCTGATCTGCCTTTTGTGTTTGTGTGACTCTGGTTCAGTGACTGTGCCTTCCTGTGTCTCAGTTTTCTCTCAGTCAAATAAGGTAAATTGCAAATGGACTGTGGCTTTTCATGCTATATGTGAATAAATTGTAAATTCTTCACAGTCACCTGACCTAATGCTTGGTGCAGTGGAGGTGTTCACACAAACAGCATTTATTATTACTTCCATGAGAGAGCACCTTTAGGTCAGATCATTGTGGATAAGCTGCTGCCAGGTACATTTTCTCTCTTCTGTTTCTGCTTCTGGGGACATTAGACTCGCAAAGCAGTCGACTGATGGCCTATAAAGCTTGTCTTTCTGTCCTCTCCACTCTGAGTGTCAGGTGAAGAAAGCTCTGTCCTGCCCAGATGAGGATCTGAGGGCTGAGCCCTGGCAGTGAGCAGCTCCAGGAGACACAGTCCTCAGACGCCTGGTGAATCCTTGGTCCCAATAAGCCCTGCCACAACCCAGCCTTGGTACAGCCTCCTCAGCTTTATCTGGAGTAAGGATTTAGGGACCGGTCTGGGGTTGAGGCCTCCAGGGCTGAGCTTTTCTGAGAGTATCTCTGGGGGCCTCTTAGGCAAAGCCCTACTCAGTTCTCCAGGGTCTTTCTCAGGATCTAGTTTACGAAGAGGGCATGAGGTGCTTGGCTGAGATTCATCTCTTGCTGAGCACCCTCCCTTCAGACTGTCCTTCCTGTGCAGCAAGTGTCTGCAGGGTTTGGAGGCAGGAAAGGAATTCTGATCTGTTATAGTTTGTCTCCTCTGTGTGTGTCCTCCACTAAATGCCAAAACACCAACATGCGACATAATGCAGAGAGGGACACAGGCACCATCTAGGCCTGACAATCCTGTTGGTGTAAAGTAGAATGGACTCCCAACCCCCAACACCCAGGGATCATGTGGAATCACTCACGGTATAAGGTGAAATGTCCAATTACTCCTTTAGTCTTATCACCTTGCTTTATCATTTGTATGGTGTAGGATCCTGTGTCCTTCTGGGTGACATTCTGGATCAGCAGGGATGCATTGGAATATACTGTTTCTCGTCCACTGTATGCAGGCCCAACTATAATTGTTTCAGCATCTATTACATATGATGTAATGTAATGGCGGAAGTCCGTTTTTTGCCCTTTGTACCAGATGTAGGCAATAAGATTCTGGGGCAAATTCTGGACAAGTAGAAGAACATCCTTCCCTTCGGAAACTTTGGTTGGCTGTGCTTCAATCGTGACTTGGGCAGTGGTGGGTGTGTTCCAGAAGATTAAAAGTGATGCTAGGATGTGGAGAGAGCATCAGTCAATATTGCGACGTATGTATGGGGGTGAAAAATGGGACTCTGGGTCCTTAGAAGATCTCTTCAATCATCAGTCTTGAAGACACACACACACATACAAACACACACACGCACCCGAGTATGACAGTAGGACACACACATACACCCTTTTGTGTGTGTGTGTGTGTGTGTGTGTGAACTACTGTCCTACTGGGTCAAGGTCAGCAGCATGACCCCCATTTCTTCAACCTTTCTTACCTTGTCATATTTCTGTTTGGAATCTCTTCCCCAGGGATCTTCATGCCTCCCTCCACACCACCCTCAGGTCCTTCTCACATCAGGGCATCCTTAGATTTCTTTCCTGACACCTCCTTCAGAGACCCTGGGTCTTCTATTTCTGACCTTTCCCTGCTCTGCTCCCTCCGGAGCTCTTGTCAACACCTGACCTCACATTCTAGATCTCTTTGCATGTCTGTCTTCCTTCCCATGACAGCGTGAGCTCCCTGAGGACAGGGACTTTTAGGATCTTGGTTGCACCCCAGTGCCTGGAACAGGCTGCAGACTCCTGTAGATGCGAAAGTTCCCAGGTCCCTCCATGCCTGGGGTGTTTTTTTTCTTTCACCAATTGTTGAAGTTTTTTGGCTGAGGACAGTGTTTCATGCAATGCTTATATTTTCATTTGAAGTGTCATCTGATAATCGTTATTATTATCATTTTTCAAAATGTGGTGTCCAGTGTTGATTAACCAGGAAAACAGAACACTTGGGATTTTCCTACCTCTTACCAATTCCGGTTCAATGTGATTTTCCTGTTTTGACCTCTGTCCCTCTCTGGTGTATTCTCCCCTATCCAGGCTCCAACAGAGCCTTCTTTTCTGTTTTTGTTTCTTCTTTTCCTTTCCTTTCTTTTCTTTTTTTTTTTTTTTTTGGGACAGTCTCATACTGTCACCTAGTCTGTTGTGAAGTGTCATGATTTTGGCTCACTGCAACCTCTGCCTCCCAGGTTCATGTAAATCTCCTGCCTCAGCCTCCCAAGTAGCTAGGATTACAGGAGCACACCACCACACCTGGTTAATTTTTTGTATTT